ACGGTTTGCTTCAAACACTCCCCGATAAATGTGAAATATTCGGGAATACCGCGTGACGTCACCCGATGTGTTTGCCCGTGCAGCGAAGACTGTTTTCATTTCGAGTACGCAGCCTATTTATACGTCCTCAAAGTCATTGTTCTGAAAGTCACGTAAACGTTCGTCTAATACTCCGATATCGTGTAACACGCTTGTGTACGTTGTACCGTTGTCATCAATGTTTACCAAAGTTTTCAACGGACGTACATGCATATGAAAACAATATCAAACAGCTGCTATTCGATGCCGTTAGACTACACGCGGGCTCGGTAAAGATTGATTCCGTTGATTTCCGTTGCGCCTGTCGGTAGATACGTCTTCGGCAAGATGTATATTTGATGGTCTAAACGCAGGTGTCTGGAAAGAGAGTCACTCCAGCGTCACTCGCGCTTTTACAAGAGACGCGGATTTGATGTTTTATAAATAAAATCCTTACTCGAAGTATCTCGGTTCAAAGGGCATCTGTTTACGTATATATGCTACAGTTTATAATGTCTTGTTTATAATGTTTATGATTATAGTATAAGAGAATAGACAGTTTCTGCCTCTCTTTCTCTCTCTCTCTCTCTCTCTCTCTCTCTCTCTCTCTCGCTCCTTTCATTTAATATCGTTGCGCACACGGTCGCGATCAACTACCTCGATTTACTGTCATCGATTTATAAACCCCTATCTCGCGGATGAATTACGTGGCGAACCGCCGTAAATCCGCCGAGGCAGCCGGACTACACGTGTTCGGAATCGAAACGTCCAACAGGTGGCTCGCGATCATAAATCGTCGCTTACTGCACTCGTGTCCTTGTGAATTCGCTGACGCGAGGAGGAAAAAGGAAACCTCGGATTAATGCGACGAGTCGTTTAGCTGGAACGAGTCCGGGTTCCCGATGACATCACGCGCAGCTGACTTCTCGCAAAGAATCACGTGCGCTGCATCCTCCGCGTGTCCAACACTCGCCCAAGTACTCCCTATTTTCTCTCACCCCCTTGCTCTTCCTTTCCGTTTCGCTACCATCGAAATTCTTCAACCTTGTCTCCTCCACGAATGTTCGAATGCAAATCGTTCACCCGTTCACATCATTCAGAATGTCTCGCGTGGACAGTCTTTTTTTGCTCTTTGTCTCTTTATCCTGTGATCCGTGCATATTTCCTTTTCACGATCCTCAATAGCGCGCGCAGCAGGTTGCGTCTTATAGATCCCCAAGATGCTATTCGTCATTGAAAGAAACGAGAGAGAGAGAGAGAGAGCGAGTGTTTGTATATGTGTACGTATGTATGATCCAAAAAACCCACGGATTAAAATAAAACTCTAACCCTCGAGATAGCGAAAGAATTTTCGGACGCAGCCGTAATCGCGAATTTATAAATGTCGAACAAAGATCCAAAAGCGCGTCTCCCACGCCGAATGTTTTGACGTTGCATTCTGCTCCGACCCGGAGATTCGAGGATATATAAATTTGAATAGTCAGATAATCGAGACCGTCACATACAAACACGCATCGAACGCGACACATTCATACAGAGCGACAGAGTCGTTCGTTGTTGAAAGGTGGTCGTCTCTCTGCCACTCGCTGTTCTCGTTCCCTCCTCCTTTTACCATGAGCTATCCCTCTTCGAACCCAGTTGTATCATATCACTCATTCTCTCTCTCCCTCTCTCTCTCTCTCTCTCTCTCTCTCTCTCTCTCATTCTCTCTGTCTCTCTCTCCCCCTATCTATCTATCTCTTTCTGACTTTTACAGCCTGCCCCTCTCGTTGCTGGTCACGTTCTCCTTCTTCAGCAACCGCCACTTGCGTGTCGGTCGGTCCTGGGTCCCTTCTTCTGCTGTGTTTGCGCTCAGTTAGCTCGGTATCGCATTATGCTACGGTCACATCGCGTCGCACGGTGCTGCAGCCGTGCCGTGTCAGTGCATCCGAGCCGTAATCACCGCGCTTGCAGTGCACGTACCTGGGAAAATATCAGCCGGGAGCCTTGCGACGTGAACGAACGAACGGTGGCATGCGGCTGGCGGGAAAATGGGGAAAACCGCGAGCAAGCTGAAGTCACGAAGAAGCCAAAGTCAGTGCGCACTTCCTACCTACGTGTCCCGCCGTGATATCACCTGCTCTTTTGCATACCTCGTAACTCGCACATGTACAAACGGAACTCGTGCCTGACGTTTACCGTCTCGCCCTGCTCGTCTGCAGGAAAACCCAGTCGCCCGCGAAACATCTGCGATATCGCAGCTTCGAGAGCGAGACGCGCGTACTCGCGACAGAATGCGCGGAGCGCGAGAGTGACACGTTGGAGTTCCGCCGAGCGTAACGCGGCAGACGCGCCACAGCGAGTCGCTCTCTCCTGTGATCAATTCCGCAAACGGTCCGGCGACCGTGAATAAATGAAGAACGAATTCGCGTTTTCATTCGGCCGCCGCGCCGCGCCGCGCCGCCGAGGGAAAGGCGAGAGAGCGCGTCGCGCCGCGCCGCGCCGCACCGGTGACGCACGCACGCGCGCGCGGGGACACGTGTGCGCTCCGTTGAACTCCGCGCGCGTCGAGGACGGCGGAGAACCGCGGGCGTGTAAAGCGTAACGCAATTGCACGCGTTACGTAAAATTCCATACGTAACGATGCACTGGTCGTCGGAGACACGACTCGCCGCCGCGTAGATTTCACTGAATCATCGCGCGCCACGTGAGAGCCAGTGGAACCGCGATTGCCGTTTAACCGCGCGGTTACGTTCTCTCTCTCTCTCTCTCTCTCTCTCTCTCTCTCTCTCTCTCTCTCTCTCTCTCTCTCTCTCTCTCTCTCTCTCTCTCTTCTTTCTCCTCTTTCGTGGGATTAAAAATTAACGACAAGCTGCGAAATGCGGTGCAAAAATGAAAGAACCGTCGCGGAGAGGCTCGAGACGAGCGTGAAAATCTCGATAAGCAAACGACGGGTCATCGAAGTAACGAGCGTTTATCGTCGAGCGACGCCCACGGCTCGATCAGTGGGCGAACACGCGCGGGATACACGCAGCGAAGCTGCGAGCTCGTTCTCATGGATTCAATTATCCAGCCGAGCTTCGAGGCGGGCTCTATGGGGATCTGACGCAACGACTGCCTGTCTGTCGTTCAGGAAGAGATCGATGGAGATCCGCGTTTCGCGCCGCGCCGCGCCGCGCCGAGTCGAACTGGTGCAGCGGAATCGCGACGGAAGCCGCGACCTGACGACGCGCATCGCGTGGCCGCGATGTCGCAAGCTCGCGGTGAAAGTCGAACTTTTCGCGCTTCATTCGCGGCCGCGGAACTCGTCGGTCTGAGCGCATCGTCGCGAGATGGTAATCTCGCGCGGCAGACGGCGCCGATCCGCAAACTGAGAATTTCGATAAGCGACTTCCTCGGCACCGGCCGAGTCTCTCTCTCTCTCTCTCTCTCTCGCTGCACGAGCACGACGCGATTGAAATTCCTGTCGCGCGCGGCAAGCACGCATAATTATACGACGACGGAGGAAACGGAGGGGCTTTCTGGACGCAGGCTGCACTCGCGCAAGAAGCGAAGTGTACTTCACCGGCGGAGTGTTGACCGGGCAGACGTTGAAAAGTATATGCGGGACAGCCGACAGATGTAACGGGCTGCTCCTCGCCGACGGATTCTTTCGTTCAGCGATTGAAAGTCAATTTCTTGTCGACGGAAACGCAGTGCCTTCGAACGTGCCTATCTCGCGACGTGAGCTAAATTCTATCGCCGAGCTTTATTATCACGAGGAGGAAAAGGAGCAGTATCCGGGGTGGTCGGCTAGCTGGAACAAGTCGAACCTTTTTCAACGGCGAAACGCGGAGATACCAGCGGGACGTTATCAGAGAGGCTGGCGCAGCGGGTGACAAAATATTTAACTTGACTTATCTCTACTCCACTGCCGACATGCTACCGTGCCGTATGTTATTTCAATGCATGACGCGCGAAATGACGTAAATTGTATCGTCTCCTTTAAACGGATCACTCGGCGACATGGTGAAATTCACGCAGGGCTCTCGATCAATACGTTCCCCGCTTGTCTTTCCATTCTCCAGTCGTTTCTTATCGTCCGCGCGACATCGCTGCACTTGGCGAACGCGTATCGGCGACTCGCGGTCGCCAAGCGAAGTGTATTCCGCTCGCGTTTCACGCCGCTTGAAATCGGCCCTGAAAATTCTTCGAAACTGCGCGATCCCAGCGCCATGTAATTTCGTCCAATTGATCGAACAAAAATTGCAAGTATCGCAGCTATGAAATCGCGCGCGCGCGCGCTTTGACTATCTCTCGCTTATTTTCGGGTCGATAGCGCTTCCCCGAGCGTCGCACAGTTATCTCCAACGGCAAACGGCGACCTTATCACCGCCGCCAGGTATTATGTCCGCTCGCTCCGTGGAGGAACGAAGAGAAGCGCAAGAGGAAAGAGACGCGGCGAGAGCCGCAGAGATAGAGGAGGTGGGCGAGGGGGGAAAGAGTAGGTAAACGCGACGCGAGCGGAAAGGTGAGGGCCAGACGGAGAGCGGTGGACGAGAGTGGACGGAGGAGAAGAGAGAGAGAGAGAGAGAGAGAGAGAGAGAGAGAGAGAGAGAGAGAGAGAGAGAGAGAGAGAGAGGGCCCGAGAGCGGCTCCGCACACCTGCATTCCACTAGTCCGCTTTTTCAAACGCGAACAAGCCGCTGGTATCGGGAGACCGAGCATGTTCGCGGCGGGCTCGAGTTCGACGTCGGGCGCGTGTGCGCCGGTAATCGCGAAAGTGCGAAACGCGTTTAACGCGATCACCGCGCGAGCGGTCGCCATCGGCGAGCCGCTCTCTCGTGATCTCTCGTCGACACCGGCCGACGCTGAAAATCCTCACACGGACGAGTGCGTACCGACGACGAGCGTGGCATCGTGGACGGTCGGGAAATGAGATCGGTGAAACTACGAGATCACAACGGAAGCGCGCGTGAGTACTCGTCGAGGAAAGCCGCGCGCACTTTTCGCGCCGCGCGTCGCGCGTCGCGGAGACCACATCGCGGCGAGGCACTCGCGCGAGAATGGAGATGCCAGCGAGTGCACGGTGTAAAATCGCCAATCGGGGACACACGGTCTCTTGATACGTCGGAACAGCGCGAGATCGGATCCGATCGATAAGAGAGAGATGATGCTGGCGAATAAGACGATCGAGCGGAAAGATGAAGCGCGAATACGCAACTCGTTCTCGCCTCGCGACCGACTTTCATGCTTTCGTGCTGTTGTTCGTGAGAGCTCGACTCGTTGAGCACGCGTGTTCCCCGCTGTCCGATCGAATCGGGATCGTCCGCTCGGCATTCGTTCGCTGGCTGATCGCAGATGCGCCGATGAGGCGGCTCGCGTTTCTAAACCCATCTACCGTTCCCTCGCTTACGTTTACGCTTAATCCGGCAGCGAGACGATCACTTTACTACGCAAATTTCTTTACGGCACATTCAGGCATAGCATGGAGCTTTCGATTCCCATCTATGGATACTCTGCAGAACTTAGGTACCAGCGGCCGACGGCGCAAGCGAGACGGCGGCTTGGCATCGTCGGACTCGTGTAAGGATCTCCGGCAGAAGAGACACACGATACACCTGCAGCCGGAAGTGATCATCCAGAAGGAGCCCTGCTTGATCGTGACTCCGCCGTCACCTGATCATCTCGCCGGGAGCAGGCCAGGGTATGTGCGAAACATTCGAGTATCGACCGAACACTCGTGACGTGACGTGAATCCGATTTCCTTATCGAAATAACGATGATATCAACGGCACTTTGTGCGACGAAGGTACAACGACGCGGCTCGTTGAAATCGCGTCGATCGATCGCGTGAAATTGTCTTTAGGATTTACGCGTCGCGACGTGCGCACCTATTTACACGTGTCTCTCCCTCATCGCGCCTTTGATCTCGGATTTATCGGATTCTTACGAATTTTTTCCCCGTTTCCTACTCGGTCCGCTGAGTAAAGGTATCAAGAGATTAAGAACACGGTGTGTCGAGCGCGAGCACAAAGAGCCTACGGAACGAGGAGCGCGAGCAAGCGTGAATAGGGAATTAGATAACGCTACGGGGACACGGTTCCTCGCTGAAGCCAAAGATCCCAACTTATAACTTATGAATTAGCCTCTTTTGAGGGTATACGTCGGAATACCGGTATGGGAATATAATGGGCCCGGCGGCTCTCGAACCGGTTTCCCTCGATCTTCGCCTTCAGAATGACGAGTCCGACTCTCTCGCCCACCACGACCGACCGACCGACCGACCGACCGACCGGTCGACCGGCCGACCGACGCGATAAGGATTCCACAAAGAGGAGAAATGGAAAATTGCGAGCGGTCACCTGTCACCCAACGGCACATCGCGACCGCGACGTGCACCACCTCGTGCATTTCGCCCGAGAGAGCGGTGCACGTCGCTGCGACGCGTAGCGTTACCGGGGCGGCTTATCGATCATTCTCAAAATGCATTGTCATGAAACGCGATGCAATTGCCGAGAGAATGCATCGGGCGAAATTCAATGCGAAATTCTTCAGCGACATTCTTCTCGTAATGCAAGCGCAGGGTCCCTCGGGCGTTCCCGGAATACGACCCGACGTGGTTATCGGCGGCGGCGACGTCCCTCTCGCGAATGTTGCATCGCGAGATCCCGCGACGGTAACAATCACAGTCCGCTGGGGAACGAGTAATCTCGCGAATCGTCGCTTTTCCGAACAATTTCTTCGCGAGATCGCCCCTTCCCCGTCGTTGCTTTCGCTTCGCTCCTTCAATAGCACGTCACGTTATTATTACCGCGGAGTCTCTCGATGAATGGAAATTTCAGTCATATTGCCGAACCTATAATTCCATTGTAGACGAAGACATGCACGCGCGACGCATGAAAGTGTCGTTATAATGAGCTCGTCGTTATCATTCTCACAATATGGAATTGTCGCCAAGAGCTGAGCCTCTGGCTCTTCCGCTCTGCTGCGGCTGGAAAAATTGCGCAAAAATTCGCAGCTGAGAAACTCTCATCGCCTGCGCGAGTCGCTTCGATGTCACCGGTGCATCTCGATGACGCCGCTTATCGAACGTTTCCCGACGACGCAAGCGCGCATGCTGGCCGTCGACCCTTTCCCTCCCTCCCCGCCCGTCCCTGTCCTGCACGCAGCCCCGAAGAGATCAATAACCCCCGTATCTACGGGGGCACCCTCGAAAGCAACAAAAGGGCACGTTGCACTTTTTAGCCGATCCGCCGCGGCGTTTCTCGACGTTTTACAACGCGACGCGAGAGAAGCCTATGATCGACGCGTGCAAGCATCTTGATATCGGTCCATGTCAAAGGCACTCGACGCACCCGGTGGAAGGGGCCGGTGTGAGTGAGAACGACGAGGGCGATAACGCCGCAGTGGCGTATCGCCGATTCGCGGGTCACGTAGAAATTGCGGACGCCGCATCTTTCGCGTCGGGTTTGTACGCGTCGTTCGTACGCGCGATTGTCTCAAGTAACATGAATCGGTGACATGAATCAACCGCGAAGATGAGGGGCGAGGGGGGAGGCGGACGGTAAATCATATTCATTAATCTTGCGGACTGAGCAGCGACTTGACCGAGAGCACGCTCAGCGACCGTTGGCTGTTACTCGCTGTCACGAGCGACGTCGTTATTTTCCACTCACCCGTTATCTGCGTGCTCCCTCGCCGCGTAAGACCAGCTCCATCGAATTTAACTCGCGCGCGGTAATTGCCGGCAGAGCGCGTATGGACGGACAAAGGGAGTCGAAGCGGGAAGAAAATATTTCCCTTGGCACGCGTAACCCCAATCTTCTCTCTCTCTCTCTCTCTCTCTCTCTCTCTTCCTCTCTTTCTTTCTCTCCCGCGCTGTCTCTCTCGTTTCCTCGCTCAAACACTCTGTCCCGTTCCTCCCTGCGCGTTTCCCGCGATCTATTAATAACGCCCGCTGGCACCCCGCGAAACCCTCTGAAAATACGGTCCTGCCTCGAGCCGGCTCGCGCTGATCAGTGGGGTGCGCGCTCTCCGAGACTCGAGAGTACGGTCAAACCCTATCCGCCCGTTCCGAGTGCCGCACGAAGCCTCTCCTTCAGCACGAAGGAATCGAAATCCATGAAAATGGGAAAGGACTCTCGTCGGAGATCAGCCCCCGGCCAGCCGCGAGATGTGAAGGGTTGAAAGAGTTTCGTTCCGATCGCAGGACACCGCTGGGAGACGGCACGGGCGGCGCGAGGGAGAATCGCCACGCATGTCCTCGAAGTGAGCGGGACTCGCCCTCGACGAAGGCGCCGGAGAGCAACAACAACCAGTCCCCGCCAATGGTAAGCATCTAGTCGTATTTCATTCCCGCCGGCCAAACGAATCCGGTCGCGAACGGTGAGACGGCCCGGGCAGCGAGGTCGCGGGATCGATCGAATTCGCGACACCGAACCGTCGCGCGCGCTCGTAATTACCGACTTCGAACGACGTGACGCGCGTTACACGCGCGACTCTGACATCGGTCAGCGGGAAGAATAGGGAATCGGTGTCTATGACGTGTGTGACTGACAGCCGCCAGAGCCGGCTCCGGGACACCCTGTACATCACGGGGAGCGCATCCCGCGCTCGTGCTGCAAACGCTTAATCGCGGACTCGAGCCGCTGAAATTGGCGACGGGCGATTTCTTGTCGCGCGATATACACTCGAGCATAAATGATGATGGGCCGCGCGATAGCCGAGCTACTCGACGCGGCGCGGCGCGGCTCGATGACGAGTCGCAGGCGCGTTCCGTACGACTTTGTGACAAGAGCTCAAGGCTGCTCTTGTTAAGCCAATCTTCGCCGGCCCTACCGCCGGGACTACCGCCTTTCTCTCGCGTGCATTGATTGCTACAATTGTTTCTCATGTGGAACGCTTCACGCGATGTCTCATCGTTACTGCGGTCGCGCTCTGTCATTCCGCGTAATTAATTGGCGATACGAGGAGGCATTGTATTTATCGCTTCGCTTCTCGCGACGCAGCAGTGACCTCATCCTTTATACGATGCGAGCGATGATTCGCGATGGAATTTCATCGGGTCCTTCAACTGTGATCGCAGGAGCCGCCCGAGGAGTCCACCCGCAAGCTCCTGGAGAGAGAGCTGCGGCTGCTCGATCCGCGAGATTTACGATCGCACGCGTGGTACCACGGCAGCACGCTGCGCGGCGGCCGAAAAGGCGCGGAGGCGGAAGTGCCGAACGACGGGGATTTCTTGGTGCGCGACTGCGCCTCCCAGCCCGGCAATTACGTCCTCACCGTGCGATGGAAAGGCCAACCGCTTCATTTCGTCATCAATCGGGTGAGAGCCGCGACGATTCATCGGGACCGAGGAAGACCCTTTTATTGCACGCGCGCGCGGTCATGCTTCACGCGGCAACTCCCACCGTTACTTTATATTTCATGACTCGGAGGCGAGAATAGAGAACGCGAGTCGGTTGCAAAATCGCCAAGGCGATTCTTCTTGGCGATCCTGGAAGACTCGGTGACTCTAAACGAAAGACTAACTGAGGAGAATCAAATCCTTTAAAGTCCTTTAACCAAGATTCTTTCGCGTTATAATTATGGTCTTTCGTAAGCGCTGACGTAATCCGGACACCGCTCGTAAATCCATTTCTATGGATGGAGGAACCTGTTTGCCCGCGATGATACCCGGCAGAACGCTGCGCGTCGAGCCACGAGAAGCGCGAACGCGAAACGCGACGTTCGACCATCCTACGAACACGTTGGCAGAAAAGTCCATATTCTGAGGTTCGTATTTTTCCCGCCGTTAGGTCGTGATTCAGCCGGACACGGTGTACGAGAGAGCGCAATACCAGTTCGAGGATGAGGCCTTCGACACAGTCGCTGACCTCATCACTTTCTACGTCGGCAGCGGCCGGCCGATCAGCCAAGCGAGCGGGGCACGCATCGTCACCCCGAAGCCGAGAACGGTCCCGTTGACGTGCGTCGCCGGGCCCACGAGTAACCAGCACTGCTCTAGTCCTTCGTCGTCCTCCCTGTCCACCGGATCGCCGCCCCGTCTACCCAGGAAGCAGCAGCGCAGTCACTCACTGACCGCTCAACACCACGGCATCGAGCAGCACGCCGTTCGAGAGGGCAACCAGCAAACGACACCGCAGTTACCTGTCCAGTCCAGCACCCTACCGCGAGTACCGCCTATTCAGAACCAACCGCCCTCCTGCTCCCTGTCCCTCGGTCGCCAGAAGATCACCCGGGTGATATCAGACTCGGCGTTGCAGCAACAGCAACAACAGCAGCAGCAGCAGCAGCAGCAACCACCGCCGAGTCTGAATCATCAGAATACCCTGAGCACGGCGCCGCCCAAGCCTCCCAGAGTACCTTACGTGCCGAACCATCAGCACCATCATCATCACCATCACCACCACCACCATCATCATCACCAAGGCTATCAAGCCTCCGGCAGTGACAGCGGCAATGGATCCGGCGACAGCGAGTTCGAGACCAACAACTCCGGCGGCGCCAGCAACCCGTCCTCCTCGATGCCGATCAAGGGCGTGGTGATACGCAGCCACTACAACACCAGCAACGACGGCACCAACGGCAACAACGGCAGCGAGTACGAGCTATCCGCGGAGGAGCAGCTGGTCGTTGCCGCGCCGTCGCTGGAGATCGCCACGATGCTCGACATCGAGGGCTTCGCCACGTTGCTGTTGCCGGCCGGCGAACACAGACCTCTCGACCCGACCGCCTTGAGAGGAGTCTCGGGGATGCTGCTGGACTCGGCGCCGCGGGTGCTAGCCTCTCACCTCACGCGAATCGACCTCGAGGTAGCGCTTCAGCCGGGCACGGGAAATAGGAGCGGACTGAGCGGAATCGAGCTCGCGACCTTGCCGCACGGCAGGCAAGCTAGAATAGATCTGATCGAGAGATCGGAGTGCCTGAAGCTGCTGGTGGCGGTCACCGTGTTAGCCGGCGCCACGGCTATAGGTACGAGTCTTTTTTCTCTCTCACAGTCGCGATGGACGATTTTCTCTCTCATAGACGCGATGGACGATATTCGTAGGATCTTACATTTAGAGCCTGAATTTAGATTCAGACACAATCCGCGCAATATCCTGAAGACGAACTCGAGATGATTACCGCTCTATCATCATTGAGTCGACTGCCATATGCAGAAGACCCGTGAAAGATAAAGAAAACTAGCTGACCGCGTCTAGACAGTTGATATTTATGTTGGAATTGTGCAAAATTATTTTATTCGACTCGACGGAGTCTTTTAAGCAGAGCTGGTGGTGGCAATGTTAATGTTGCAGAAAGAGCGGCCACTATCAGCAAGTGGATCAAAGTAGCAATCGACACCAAAACTGCCCTCGGCAATCTCTACGGCTTCTGCGGCGTGATGCTCGGTCTATGCCTGCCGCAAATTCAAAGGCTCGCTAACACGTGGCACCTGCTACGTCAGAAACACACGGACGAGGCTTTCAGCTTCGAGGCGAAGCTCAGACCCACTCTGCGAGCTATGAACGAGTGCACCAATCCCCAGGCACCCAACACTACACTCCCGCATCTCTTACCGATCGCCTTACTCGGAGAACGCGGACCCGAAGACGTTTTAGGTAAGTGTCGGAGAGGAAAAATCAAGCGAATTCATCGTACATATCTTTCTAATCGCTTCGTTTTCGTTCGTACTCCTCTCTTCAAGTTATACTACGTTACTACATTGGATCATCCATAGGCACAGTGACACCTTCCGGACTCGCAGCAGCGATTCTTTCGCCATGGGAGAACTCCGCGCCCGATTGCGGCCTCTCGATCGTCTGGTCGCATCTCGAGGCCGCTCGCAAGCTGGCCGAGAGCTTGCCACTCTTTCGCAGGAACGCAGAGATCGCCCTGGAAGGCTGCAGAAGCGACGAGCTGCTGTCCGACGCCTTTCGCACCGAGTTTCACATCAAGTTCCTGTGGGGTAGCCGCGGTGCCACCGTTGCTCCGGAGGAGCGTCACCTCAAGTTCACCCAAGTCTTGGACGCGATGTACGATAAGTGCGCGGCCAGCGAGGTGACTGCTTAGAAGACAACACGGCGGATTTCCGTACTCCACCACCCCACAGAACTCCCCTATCTTCGCGTGGACGAACGTCCGAGAGAGATATTCGTGGACTCTTTCCCGGTCTTTCGTAATATCCGAGCACGTCGGCTAGCGCGACAGCGGAGCGCGAGATCAATCAAAAAATTATCCCGTATGTTAATTAACGCGGCGTTCATCTAATCGCTAACTACTGATGTAATCTCGAATCGTGTAATATCGTAGAGCATATCCCAAGAATATCAAACGTTTCAAATTCTTCCACCTGACCCAACGCTTGTCCCGATCATTGCACCAGCGAAAGTGCTCCAAAGAATCGCGATCGAGAGAATCGATCGAAGCTTACCTTTACCGTTTGAGTACTTAACTTTAATTGACAGTGTCATTCGATAATGTTATGTTGTAAGTGTTGTTCATACATTTGTTCATACTTAATATACAAAATGAAAAAAAAAAAAAAAAAAAAAATTTCTTGCGTTGTTTTATTTTCATCACATTCCCGTCAAGAAAAAAATATTGAGCTCTAATTGTATTTTATTATAGCCATTTATCTCTAACTATATATTTATATATATATTAAAAATATATATGTTTATATATATTTATATATATGTTAAAAAAATTATCGAGCTCTAATTATAGGTCCAATTAAGAGCCAAAAACTTCGGAGAAATTATCCTTATTAATCGTTATAGTAATTAACAATGCAAGAATCGTGTATGTAAGTTAATATCGACATCAGTGGCAAAACCGTGAATTTTGTTCGATGTTTTTGGAAATGAAAATTTAGAATCAGAAGAGTGATTCTCATCAATTGTTATCGAATCGTTTTTGTCGATCGACAGATCAGCATTTATATGTTGTTACATGAAAGAGAAACAATCGTTGTATGCAGTAGGTATACTGATTATACTTTAATAGAAATGGAGAAAATAAAATATGCTAACCTCACCGTTGACTCAAATCTCTGCGATTTCCGGGACGACGATCGTGATTCTCTTCAAGGAGAAACGCTGGAGGTGACAACCTAGGATGCAATGCTCCAAAGATCCGTTTGTTCCGACACTCTGTCAAAGAAAGAATTACTTTATTAAATTAGGCGTGTCGATATAAGCTGAACTATCGAATTTGTAAAAACTCGCGTAGTTCCGCTTTCGTACGCCATAAGATGTATTGTAGCTACATTTACGTTTATGCGCAAATAATCGAAACGCGACGATCGATACAAGGTTCTTCTTCTTTCAAGGAAATTGGACTTACCCAAAATATATCGATTTCAGTCAGTATGATACAACCAAATTTATCGAATTTAAACACGTTTGACGAAACGACGGTTAAACGATCAACGCGAGAGACTCGTTCAACCGACAAACATGGCGCACATTTATCCCAACCGAAGCGCGGCTCAACGGCTGTACCTGGCGCCATCTAGCAAGGTTGCGTAAAAATTTACTAGACTTAATTTCCAAGTGATACGACTCAACGACTAGTCAAACAGGCTTTTTATATTAAAATATTTCTATGAAACAGATGAGAGAAAAAAGTATTTAATCTTCAAATGATATGACCGATAAGAGAAACTTCAATTTCCAGATGCGACATTAGAATACAACGATGAACCAAACAAACTTTCTGTCTGTCATGATACAACCAACAAAAATTCAGATTCGGACTTACGTCTCTATTTGTCAATGGAATAATATCCCTCTAAAGAGCTATATCAATATAAAAATAAAGAGAATTAGTTAAATTTTAGGATATCGAGAAGATAATCGATCCTTTAACGAAAAGGAATCGAACATCGAGTCATCGCTCGTAATCCCTACTTCCGGCGTTGAGGAGCGCGTGAAGATGTTCTCGGAGTGACTGACTGACACTCTGTTGGACAGGTTACTTGGCCGGTACGAAATTCGATAGTAAATATGCAGCCGCGTTATTATCATAGTGAGTGACCGTTGTAATACGCGCGATTATAATGGCAGAGCACCTGTCGAAACGGCCTTCTAAAGGAATCCTAAAGACGTCTAGCAGTTTTGATAATCCAGAGGCGCCTAGGTGAGAAAGAGAGAGTACTAATTGAATTTTCGACGTGTAAAAATAGAGATGCGTGCAACACTCGTCATTCCCGGCATGTCGCTATCGAGATTGTCTCACACGCGTCATACATCCATAAGTATTCAGCCTTTACAAGGACATTGCGATAACCGAGAACCCAAACGTGCCTTTTTAGCAAATTGCACGAGAAAGTGCTGATCGCTGAAATAATTTTACGATATACATGCTCGGTCGATAGTTGAGCCTTTTGTTGTTGCACGTATTCTAAACGTGTGAACGTACAGTTTAAATTTTCTCTTGTAAAAGTTATTTGTATCCATACCATTTAACAGGATAGAAAATTGCAAAAATTTCTACATCAAAATACTCGCAAAGAATAAGTCAATATTAGTAGACACGGTACATTCTATTTTTAAGCATAATAAAATATACAAGCAATCTGTTTTCTTTTTCAAATTACCTACCACTGACGGATCTATAGACCGAGTAAAGAGACAAAATGGGACGAAATGAACATTATTGCCACTCTTCATCCTCCTGACAAGGATTATGGACACATGAAAATTGAGGAACCAAAAACCCCATATAATTTTGAGGGCCTTCAAAATGAACATGAATTTGATCAATTAGACGCTGGCGCTATTGCAGCAAAGTAAGTAGATTTATATAGCGTATAATCATATTTCACATAAATTTTAATTATTAATGCACACAATGATATAGCCTATTATGTGATAATAATTATGTAAAACTATTACTTAATTACTTAATTACTTGACTATTAAAACTCAGATTAGCTGGAAGTAGCAAGCCAAAAATTTTTGAAGAATCCCAGGAAGAAGAAGAAGAAGAAGAAGAGGAGGAGGAAACTCCTGAACAAAGAGGTAAGATAAGCAGTTTGCAGAAAGTAAGCAGATTATATATTATTTGTGAATTATATCTTAGAAAAAAGGAAAGCCTTCGAGGCAAAGAGGAAAGGTCACTATCAGGAGTGGCATGCTGTACAACTGGCAAGAAAACAACTCTTGGAGCAAGATGAAGAAGATGAGGATGAAGATGGTGAGGATAAGAATAACGAGGAAAATTCTTCGGAGGAAGAGAACAATTTTGACACTCGTTATAAATGCATGCCGTCCTGTGATAGAAGCGAAAAAAAATAAACGAAAATATTGATTAGCGACATTATTTTATAAATCATCCATCGTAATCACAGTTTTGCGCCAATGTCTATCTTACTGTTCACTGCAATTTTAACCGAGCAAAGTACATCGAGCTGCAGGAAAAACATTTATTACATTTAAATGCCCAAACATAATTAAATCCTATATTTTAATTGTGTATATATAGCTCTTTCTATCTCTATTAATTTTCTCTGTAAATAAATATTTCGGAAACTTGATTGTTTAGAATAAACTGCTAGTGGACATTTCTAGCATTAAATAAAATAGTGGTACTATATTCGCAACTTAGTTACTAATTTAGCTCAATTACGCTAATAAACTATGCACAAGAACCCGCCAAGTTTAATGGACGCGACTTTTATCTGTCTAGAACTATCTTTACATAGATCGCGATATATAGAAGCTTCGTTCGTCGTCTCGCGTGCGTTGTTAACGGGCCTATCAACGTTTTTTATAGCGCCAGTTCATAGAGATGTTCCCGTGAAATTTATTGTTTTGGAAGTGAAAACTTACAGCGGCTAAAGATTCTTGATCACTGGATCAAAATTTGATGAACAATAAGGCTGAACAAAGCGCTCCCATAAGTAGCAAAATATTAAAAAACGCCATATATGATATTTACTTACAGTAAGAAATGTGTGTGTTTAAAAATGTTAGTACATGTGTAATACATTACAAACCCTGCATTAACACAGTTGCGCACTACACAACATCGGAATGTACGACCTCGAGTTTTCGTTTTTTCTCATAATGTTTGATTTTATTTTCTAAACTCTCTGTAAAAGAAAATAATGTAGATTATACACAAGTAGACGTACCAAGATTATCAGTTTGTACTGAATTCAGTAAATCATTTAGTAAATCATGTTATTTATATAAAATGTATGTTTTTAGGGGAGTTATAAAGTAGAATAACTCGAATATAGAAACGTCCAAGTGCGACGGCAATGTGTTTAGTATAGTAATGTAAAACAAAAGAAAAATAACGTTATATGTATCCGAATATTTTGAATGTATGTATTATATAGTGGAATACAACAGTATTAACAGATTCTGAACAGTATACTTGTATATGCATGATATCTCTAATTAAATAAATATAAATTGTGGTCGTAAGTAATAAAATAACACTTTGAGACAAATTGAATTTTCAAAATCTCAGGACTTAGGATCACACAAAATTGTTTTGGTAAAATTATCATATACTAACCACACACTTCTCGTTTCATCAATGGTTGATACACTTTTGATTGTGCTCCGAGGAGCAAGCAATCGCTTTGGAAATCATTATTTGTGGAGTTGGCTATATTTTCCAATTCTGCCAACATATTTTTAATCATTATAGATCTGCATATAATTAAAAAAAAATTTAGTTGCAATGTCTCAATGACATACAGGTACAATGATACTAATTTCTCTGAATTTATAAACATACTTTATGGTATTGAGAGTCCAATCTCGCTGTAATGTTTTGATAGTGTTTATTAATTCGTTTTCATCAATAATCCATTCTGTGTCTTTATAATCAGAGTACCAAAGATTCAATGGTACTTCATGAGCCATATTGTATTGAGGCTTCTGTGGACAGGTTTCAATGTCCAGAAGCTTTGAGATTATTTCAGGTTCCTCTCTTTTTTTTCCAACCAATAGCAAAATACCCATCAAACAACGAATTTGATGCCAGAGGAAGGCTTGACTAGTGATCTCTAATTCGCATATATCATAGCCTTTGAAGTACAAATAAGATTGAATGTATGTCATCAGAAATAAATAGCAAATTATTGAAAAAATTGATGAGTACCTGTGGATTTGTCTACCGCTTGGTTATTCATAGAGATTTTTGCATCGATTACTTTTCTCTTAAAATTAGTTACGCCATTTGCTACATCCATTTTACAAATGTTACGAAAATCAAATTCTCCTATGACATACTTGACTGCTTTATCCATTGCATCTATATCCAAATTACCTCTTGGAAAGAAGTATTTATATTTTCTATACTTGCAGTCAAATCTCGCGGAAAAATCAGATGATATTGGACACCATGCTATACATCTTATATTTGTTGGCAACAATTTGTTCAATATTTTACAGTAAGGTAATTCTTTAGATAAGTTACTTTGTTGCTCAGGCTCCAACTTGCTACGTATATCTAAAGAAATCACTTGACAGAATGAACTGACACCTTTATCAGTTCGTCCACACCGATGATAATTTGAGGTCTCACGAGATTCTATGCAACAGCTCTTTGTAAGAGCTGCGAATAAGTGATGTTCAATAGTAGCATTGCTATCTTCTTGTACAGTAAAACCATCATAATTCCAACCGAGATAATATAATTTCAAAAGTATATGCCTCTTGTGACATCTACGATTAATATTGTGAAATATTATTCGGATAAAAGAAAAAGAGAACTTAACAAAAGCGATAGGCCTACCGAGAGAAATCAAACGGTTTGTGCACTTTTTCAGACATCCTTTTCTTCTCCGATTTTATATCCGTTGTCTTTGCAATCAATACTTTGAGTTGTTCGTTATGAGCTTCTAATTGAATTATTTTATCTATTAATACCTGCAAATTGTAGACATTTTCATGCGAACGTAAAATAGACATACATGAGGATTATATATTTACATGTTTACGAACAGCATACCGATTTATCAAGCAGACCTAATTCCTCTCTCGTGTTTTTTTTCGTTTTAGCACGTTTCCGCAAAACCTTTGCCATAATCGTATCGTTATCACACCAAAATAGGCGTAAAATATCGAAATATCCCAGTTGAATCAAACTGACATTAAACAGGAACGTACTTTCAAGTTATGCCATCAAATGCAGGTTATGTTGCACGTATCAAAACACGTGCACAACCGCAGGCTGTAAAGGCTCATCCAGCAAACTTGCATGGTCGTATAATATGCGTGCACAGGAATCAATCCATCGTGCTCCAAGTGCTAATGTGACGCCATTTATATGAGACACTTATATGAGACTTGATTGGTCAATTTGCCTGTGGACATGGGTATGCGATTACGCAGTTTATCTCTGGATATGCCTTAATAACGGAAGTAACGACGACATATCCGGTAAAAATAAACGTTCGCCATATTTGTCCATAGTTGAATGTTTCTCGCGTTGAACGATTAACCGTCACTTAGTCGGTAGGAACACTTTTAATCCACTTAATCAGGATATGCTAAGGATCGAAACCGATATATCTTGGTGAGTTTAATTTCCTGAATCAAAGAAGAACGTTATATCGGTCGGTACGTTTCGTTTACCCGTGAATAGATGTAAAGATCGTTACCGGCGCCTATCGGAAGTTATCGCTAAATCGAAATTTCGCAAAAGTACACGATTTTCGATAAATCTGACGTTATATTCCGACGTTATATTCATGCCGAATTTTGACGAAAGAATTATTTTTGCAGAACAGAATGTCGAGAGTAGCTGAAATATTATACGTCCCTCTCTCTCTCTCTCTCTCTCTTCCTCTTCAGCATTCCCTCTGAAAAAGAGAGTATTGAGCATCATTTAAGAAGTCGTCGAAGTCAAAGACAAGGTCAGTGTGTACACGAGTTTCCTCTATTTTTATTAATGTACAATCAGCATCCATTGCGTATAATAATTCTCGATACTTCGGTCGACTAGACAATACTAGATCACTACAGTTACAATAGTGCAGTGCACTCTAGCTCGGTCTGAAAATTCGGTCTTCTCGAGTGAGAATACGGTAACCGAAGGGTTCAGCTGATTTGCAAAGAACGTAATTATGTGAGGAGAATTTTTGACCAGAAAACGCTTCCGTATATTACATAACATCAATATCGAATATTTATTGTATGAAAAATTTTTTCTCCATTTTTTCTCTCGGTCGATTGCATAAAACGATGCATCCCGGGTCGAGATTTTGGTTTCATATTAATTTTGCAAATTCCACTGAATTTGAAACGCCACAATGTGAACAGTTTCAGAATATATAACACTATAAAAAATGTAGGCCTATATATATATAAGTACCTTCATGTTACAAATTTTTATTTTCTTCATGTTAAAACTTGATATATTCATATCGGAATCATTTAATATTCTTCAACATTAATGTCCTATCTATATTTAATCTTTAGTTTCAACCAACAATGTATGAATTATATATAACTTATTGTTAATTAAATGCAGATAGAATATGTATGATAAGCAAATATTAGATATTTAATAATGGGTAAATAATGGGCTGACAAAGCAGAGAGAAATTATTTTCATAATATTTTTGTTATTCTTTTTATTAGAATTGAAAATCTTTGTAGAATTTTGATATTTTATTTTGATATTAAAGATCAAAGCGGAGTATTCCTTCATATAAAACAAATATAGGTAAAAAATAGAGATAAACTGATGTAAGTTGACGAATATAAATTAGATTCCTAAACTGATGATTATTTGCCAAATACATAACAAGCTGTGTGTATGCCGGTCTAATTTTCGGCTCGGCTATTTTTTTATTCTCAGTAAATAACTACTTGTAGCATCAAGGTAAGACAATAACCTGTATACCGTTGCACCTCAAAATTCTCCATTGATACTTCAAGTTTGATGGAATTTGCAGGTTTAACGTAGAATTAAAATTTCGACTCGGGTTTAATATCATAGTGAGAAACGATCAATAGCGCAAATTCGTTTATACGTAGCCTGTGTGCCTGCAACTGCAACTTCAGTATGCGTTGATACTGAGAATACGTCGAAATAAGATGAAAATCAGAGGGAGCATTGTTTCGCGTGTATGCTCGTCATACGTAAGGGCGCAAATGCCAGCTTGATTTCGTTTTCCATTAACGATTGCTTCGCTCTCGCGTAACCACATCCGAGCGGTCTACCGATCCAGCGGAAGCGATTTGATAGTCGATAAACCACTCTTCTGAATCTCAACCCTTCAATTCCGAAAGCACCGAACGGAGTCACGTCCCGCCGTTACAGTTTAACGTGAAAGGGACACTGTCACCTCTACGTGTGTATCAGATATGCCGTGAGAAGTTCGAGGGGGAAAGCGCCTTTCATCTTTTGCATCGACTTTTTCGCAGATGTTTCGATTAAAAATTAAAACTGCGCTTAAACCGTATCACACCGCGTAATAAATCACGCGTAAAGCTAATTTATTATTATTGGCGGCTGCCAATTAAAGCCAATAATCAATATCAATCTTCATACGTCCCTCGCATCGTTAATTACCACAATGGATTAAGAAGGATTATTCTTTGAAGTTGCTGTTTAGCTCGCTGTAAGTTATAATGAATTGTAGTTATAACGAATTACCACGTCAAAAACAAGGGGATTTCTCCTGCTATTATTTCACATTAACAAATGAGCATATAATTTGATCCACGTACGTGTCGCATTTCCAGCGAAAATGAATCTTATTACAGCCGCGAGTGAGACACAGCTATTTATTGAACCGTTAAGACGAAACACGAGAACATTCCCGATACATTTTGTCAAACCGTAATCACCGAATGATAACGAGCAATACGAATGATAACACGCGAAGGAAATTTAATTTTGCTTTGACGTGCGAAATAAGAGGAATCGCTCACACGCAATTTCTCGTTTCTGACGTTATGATTCGATATAGCTGCAGCGAGGAAACGGGAGCCTGCGAGATCTCAATTCGATATAGGTGTTGCTTCCGGACTTTCTTTTCCCTTATCAATCGAAGGATGCGTCGGAGGTAACACGATCGTACCGGATCGATGCTGAGGGACGGACGAAAGTTTAACCACTGACCGGGATCTTCTCTAATGTCGCTAATGACGAAACTCAAAGTACTCATTGAATGACAGCCACTTTATTGAGAGTAGACAGCGGTGAACATTTAAGATCGCCTTGCGCAGCAATTGCCTCGATAGTTTTAGATAGTAAGATATCACACGTGCCCGTAACTGAGTAAGAATCCTATCCTTATTCAGCATGCTATCGATCTTCACGTTACGACGAGCCCGATCGTCTCGTAAGTGCACTCGTAAACTACTTTATACTTTCGCTGCAAAAAATAGGCGAGCTAAAAGGACGGGAATGCATTCTGCGACGGCGAGTCGTTAATGTCATTTCTCACAAAATGAATTTCCCCCGATCCCTTTGAATTTACATATTTTTTGCAGAGTTCCTTCAAAAATGGAGGTACAATGGATAATCTCGAACGCACGATGATAATTGACGATACATGCATTGTCTCTTGCGAAACTATATGTACATATAGGTAGAAAGAGAGAGTTATATATATATATATATATATATATATAACATATAAATAGTTACGACCGTGTAAAAGTGGAAAACAGTTAAACGAACCACCCTTCCCCGCCTGCCCTCCCTTTTTCGAGTTTATTATCCTGCAAAGCAGCAACGCTCGCTGAGATATTTCGACGCGCTTGATTAAGATATCCCTGCTGGAAATCCTTGAATTAAAAGAAATCAGCATGAATGTGGACACCTTTAATCGAATTCCCATTTTTCTCGCGTGGCCTTGTTAAAAATTCAATCGTTCGCAAGATACTCTTGCCCCATCGGGAACACTGAAGGAAAGTTTCCCTCCTTACGAGAGGAAACGCGCGCGGTAGGAAACGGAATAATTCCGCGGGGTCCGTGGGGCCGACTTCGAATCCAATTGACAATTCGATTTTCGGACGCATCGGGACGCACGGAATTCCGCATGATCGCTTTTAATTCGCCTATTTTTTTTACAAGGATACGTTACGTCGCAGCGGTGTGTCTCGAAGAAAGAGAGCGCCTCGTCACACTCTCGCAATCCCTGACCACCCGTTCGGCTTCGCCGCACACACTCATACATGGTTAGTCGTATGTATGTATGTATATATATATATATATATATATATATATACACATATATATATATTGCTGTCGGGTTTTTCTTCTCTCCCCCACGACAATTTGTAAAAAACTTTTGGCTTGGGTCCGCCTACTGGCGACATCACCGACTTACGTAATTATTACGAGTAATTAGTCATGCTCCGCTAACAATAGGAATACGAGTACAAACGCGTCGCATGTTTCACATATTATACGCGCACCGACCGGCATCGGTACCGCCGTAAATGATTTGTCCTTAAGACCTGCGTACATTGCACCAAGAACACCGCCGCCCGTGCGGATTATTATTTTATTTATCGCGTCGCTCTTGCCGGCGGCTGCCGTAAAGCACGGCGCGACGCAAGAGAGACTGTTATTGAGGGGGTAGCGTGTCGCGTCGCGATGCCGTTCTTGGTGAACCTGGGAGTCGTTGTATCTCTAAATTTAATCGCGAATTACACGACAAACTTGCGTCTTCGCACCGTAAAACGAAGTCTTAGGACGACCGACCGTGCGCGCGCCATGCAACAAAACGAGCAAGAAGAAAAGAAAGGAGAAGGGAAACCGAGAGGAAGGGAAGCGAGGGAGAAAAAGGAACAAGAGAAAAGGAGATCAGCGCGATTAGCGCGGGATTTCATTTTCAACGCTTCCGTCTGCTTGAATTCTCTTTTAACTTTGGTCGCGAATATACACGGAAAGCAACGTTGGACGTTTCACTTCGTTCTAACGTCTGAACATCGTGACGGGGAAAACTTAGGAGGGAATCCCTTACATAAATACTCAAAGCACCACCTCTAACGAGTTCACTCATGAGTCAGGGGGGAAGGGAGGAGGGAGGGCAACAGAAAATTGGATTTCAGCCGTGTACGGAGGAGCGATCTCTCAACCGCGCATTTATTCCCACTGCGATGCGATCTGACCTCGTTTTAGGGCAGGAGTGATTCGGTCTCCATCGCGATGATCTTCATTCGTCCGCGACACCCGCACTCTCGCGGAATCTCTCGCACTCGTCGTTTTTTTCTTTTTTTTTCCTTTTTTTTTCTTTTTTTTTATTTTTCCTCGTACAAAACGAAAGGATATGGGGCAATTGACAATGCATGCATTGATTCGATTCGATAATTATCAGTTCTAGGGATATATTCCGAAGGCATTTAATAACATGCTCCGCCACGTTCCACGAAGTATTTTGAACACAGCACCCTAGCGGAGAACGAAATGTATCCTGGTAAACGTTCACGTAATTACTTCCTAGTGTTGGCTAGACGCTTCGAGTTTAGGTGTATGCGTGTGTGCATGTCTGTGACTGCAAAGTGTCCGTGTCTGTGTGTATGCACGTGTTTACGTATACGTGTGTATACGTATATGTGTGTGTGTGTGTGTGTGTGTGTGTGTGTGTGTGTGCGTGTGTGTGTGTGTGTGTGGAAAATATTTAATGAATATTACTTCGTATAACATATATTTACAAACACATAGTTATTCATTTTAGAAATGTACGCGAGGGGAAACTTACTTTATAGTATTTGTAAAGTACCGTCCTCTACCGCTTTCCGGCCTGAGATTTGGCGATCCTTGTGAAACTGTGCGCCCGAAGGAGAGAACGGACACGTTCCTAATTAACACGCTCCTTACATGCTCTCGATACCTGTCTCTCTCTCTCTCTCTCTCTCTCTCTCTCTCTCTCTCTCTCTCTCTCTCTCTCTCTCTCTCTCTCTCTCTCTCTCTCTCTCTCTCTCTCTCTCTCTCAACACTCCTTATATATGTATATATATATAATATATATGTATATTTAACACGCGTACGTACACACACACACACACACACATATACCTGCGCGCGCGCGAATGTATTCACAGGCGTACGTGCATGTACGTACGTGTGTGTGTATATACTCTCTATGAAAAAACACACTTGTTAGCCGACAGCGACGCTTTAAACGCGACGCTCCACAAATCCTTCCTTCTCAGCTTCGTTCCTCGGCAGCGTCTTTTCGTCTCTCGTTCTCGCGAATGAAAAATCTCTTACACGTTGGAAATCGCTATAACAGTCAACGGTTAAATCTACCGCCCGAGATCTGCCGCGGCTAACAAACATCGTATCTTTTTTTTGTAACTCGTTTTATAAATATCTCGAAGATATATTCGTTATATATAATTATAATACCGCATTCAACTAGGTCTATAGTTTAATGCTTAAAGTCGTGTCACAAAAATATTCTTCGGTCGTACTAAGAAATATTTAAACAATATTTGTTCGCTGCTATAAGGGCTCACCCCGTCTTCCTCCTCTCCCCCCCCTCCCCTCCCCCTCCGAGAGCGGTACGCTATATCGATTACATCGACGACCTTCACTCCCTTTCTCCCTGTGACCCCCAACTCCACGCCCACCCGGGGTTTATTCCCGAAAACGCACGCTACGTACCGCGGTTCCTTCTTGCTTTGCTTTCCCGCGACGTTCGTTATGTATATCGCGTTACATGCTGCAGCCGCGTCACTAACGAGATACGAGATCTATTGACTGACGTTCAAGTAACTAAGTGTGCTCGATAGTATCGCGCGCAATCCGTACACTTGCTGTCCCGTTTACGTCTAGAATCCGGACCAGCGAGACGTGCGAGACGAGTATAGGGGATAGAAATCTCGACGAGTTCCGCATATTGAGTTTGCGAACCGCGCGCAGGAGTACTTACTTTAACTTTGAATTTACATTCTTCTGTTTGTTTTATCTCGTCTCCTAAATGTATCATTAGTTAGAGGGAATCGTCGTCACTAGAAAATATCCCGTGTGCGTGTGTGTATGTATGTGTGTGTATGTGTGCGTGTATCATAGAAAAAAGTCGTCGTTCTTACTCGTCGACCGGGGCCTCTCTCTCCCTCTCTCTCTCCCTCTCTCTCTCTCTCTCTCTCTCTCTCTCTCTCTCTCTCTCTCTCTCTCTCTCTCACGTCTCACGATGAGAGCTATGCGATTCGAGCGTCATTATTATTATACTAGAGAGAGTTTGTATTATTAATTCCTAGTCTCCGGGTCCGTTCGTTTATCGTGATATCAAGTGCCGTGCTTGAAGAGCGAGGACGTGAGAGACGGAACGAATAATTAACCCGGCGGCGGGGTGGCGCGGAAGGTGGTGTTACGGTAGGTTGGTACGGTATGTAGGCGGATAGGTGGGTAGGTAGACAGGTTATCGCGGCTCATCGTCGTCATTATAAATAAATTAACGGAGAATTTCGTGTCTGAAATACGTCCAGCTTGGAAGCGACGTGTCGCTTGATAACGTTGCGTAACCGTCGCGGAACGTCGTCGCCGCCGACCGAAGGAGTCGAGCTCTCTCGACTCGGGCTCGAGACACGAGTTGGTGCCGAGCGCGAGATTAATTAATTAACTTAAACGATCGATTTCTAACACACCCTACCGACTGTGAGTCCACTGCTAGTGTTCTTCCACGACCAGAGAAACGTGAGTTTTCCGTGCGTGCTCCAGTGCTCAGCGCGTCGACGACCCGGCGAAGCGAGGCAGTGCCGGATCACCGGTGCTGGCCGTTAGAGGTACTCGACGATGTCGCATTTGATGGATATATTCGGGCAACTGGCTATGTTCGAGCGATAGCCCCGCCTGGCAGTGCTCTTATGCCGCTCGGTGAGGAGCTTCTGAAAGATCGGCAGGATCGTCAGATCCAGCAGTTCACCGTCTGACACGGCACTGTACATCTTCGAGACGTTCACCGCGGAACCACCTGTGAGCAAATCACGAACACCAGCTCGAGAGAGTTGTCGATACGAAACGACACGACGCGTATATCGCGTCCGTGCGACGATCCTCCTCGTCGCAGCCGCGCCAAGATTCATCGCGGCCTTTCGCGCGCGAGGAACAGGCGTATTCTTATCTGCTTATCGGATTTACATGTTCGACGTGTCGTGTCGCGCTGAATTATGCGTGAAATGACGCTTCTCGGAGCAAGGACCGCGGCCTTTTTCGTCGCGCTCGCGATCTCGATCTCGGCGAGGATGCAACGTTAACGGCGTAGTATCGCTAACGGCGTAGTAACGTTACCGTTCACGTCGCCAGTCCCGCCGCGCGGATTCACCGCGGCGTGTTTGCTGTTGTGCATCGTCGCCACGTTCGGGGTGCTTTGCACGTACTCCAGTCGTGCCTGCTGGCGCAGCTTCGAGCCCGCATGCCGGCACATGCGGCGAGCGACACGGTGCGAGCACTCGACTATGGGGTGACCGCCCCCGATGTGCAGCCGCAGGCACTTCTCCCGCGAGCGCTCCGACATGGAACGCTGGATGATGGTCGACATTGACTCCTCGTATTTCTCTGTTAACAAAACCGCTCGAAACGTAATCGCCTTCTACGCCCCCAGTACTCTCTCTCTCTCTCTCTCTCTCTCTCTCTCTCTCTCTCTCTCTCCTCTCTCTCTCTCTCTCTCTCCCTCCCTCTTCCTCTCCCTCCCCCCCCCTCTCTCTCTCTCTCTCTCTCTCTCTCTCTCTCTCTCTGTCTCTCGTCAAACTTGCCAGCGTCCGTTGCAAAAAGACCAGCCGGCGATTTAATCGGTGAAAAGTTTATATACCTCGCGAGTCACACATGCGACATGTGACAACCGACAAAGATCGACCGACGAAAATCCGCTATTAAATCCCCCACTAATCCGATTTCGTCCAAGAATGGGTAAACAGCCCTCGAGACAGCCTTCCAGCGACTTACATGCACGAGTGATCTTTTATATACGGAGAAAAACGTTTAGTCGGATGAGCCAACTTTGCGGTGAGATATGAACGATTCAGAGATTTTAATTGAAAATGCCAGAATTCTGTCCGAGGTAATTGGGAATCTTCTCTCTCTCTCTCTCTCTCTCTCTCTCTCTCTCTCTCTCTCTCTCTTAATAATTTAGGCTGAATTTCCAATAACTTTATCTGGAACTTCTGAATCGTTTATACTCCACCCTTCAACCAGACGCTTTTCTCCGTGTATTCGCGACTTCCGCCGCGATTTAATTAATCCGGCAAACACGCACGCGCTAGGCCGCGAATCGCACTTGCGAAAGAGAAGGGACGATTGGAGATTCCGTTCTTACCGGAATGCCGATGATTCGGCACGTACTGCAGCGGAAACGGCATGATCACTTGCTCGATGTAGCTCTGCTCGTGAAGCTCGCCGAAGGAAACGTTCTTGGTGGGCGGCGGCGTCGACAGTTTCGCCCTGCGCTCGTCCCTGCTTCTCCTCACGTGGCATACATGTTTCGCGATCTCGGTCTCCTCCAGGATCACGGAGTCGCTCTCTTCGACGACCGGCGGCACAAAGTCGTAGCGCGTCGTCATGATGTCGTTCGGCAGCGGCTCCGGGCCCCTGTTGTTGCGGAGCAGCAACGGTTCGCCTCCGTTCTTGCTCATCTCGATCGGCACACTTTTGCGTCGCAGTACATCCAGGCCGCAAGTGTGCTGCATGTGCATCATGGTCGTCGCCGCCGTCGCCGCCGCCGCCACCGCTGTTGTCGTCGTGGTCATAGTCGCCGTCGTCATCGTCATGGTCGTTGTCGTTGTCGTCGTTGTCACAGTCATCGTCATCGTCGTCGTCGTCATCGTCGTCGTCGTCGTCGTCGTCGGCGGCGGCGGCGGCGGCGACGGCGACGGCGACGGCGATGGCGGCGCGTCCGCCACCGTTTCTAGATCCGGGGAGATCATCTTCTCGATTGTCTGCGCCGTCATAGCCATTCGTTCATTGTCGATCGTGATCGACGTGGTTTTCGCGATGGTCGCTCTCTTCCTGCAACAAGCGTCACGCGACTATCCTGAGAATGGACGGTGCGATCGCGTGCACCCAGAGTCTCTCGGGGAAAAGTCGAGGACGGGAGGTTGGTAGCGGTGGTGGTGGTGGTGGTGGTGAAGGATGGAGGGTTATTGAGATGTTATAAAGCCCTTAAGGTCGAAGGGCGGCGTCAAATGCGACTACCTACTTTGCCACTTGATCTACGTTGACGTAATCACCCTCCGGCTGAGATACGGTTGACGAGTTTAGGCTGCACATAGACATTGAGATATCGGTCGTCTCTGTGGTTATCGACGGTCCTGAAAGACGTGGCTTTGTTCTTACTTATAATTAATATACGAGGAGCGTATCGGTATCGGGTACCGCGCGCAGCGCCGCGATCGCGAGTGTTAGGCGCGAGACATTTACCCTCCTTCTTGGCGACTTCTTCCTGCTTCGGGACCGGCAACGTGTCGACCGTCTCCTGCGTCTCGCTCGCGACCTCCTCACCCATCCTCCTCAAAAATCCCTGAAGAAGAAACGAAGGGGACGATGAAACAACAAGCGCTATCGTGTATCCCATGCGGTCGCACGATGTAGAACAACGTCATTCTGAATTAAGCATTACGTAAACGCGCCGGTAGTATATCCCCCGAAATAGTTCCGGATCGTTACTCTCAAAGGGCGAGCTACACACGAAGCGACGACGTCGCGGTTATTTATAGTCGAATTAAGAATGGATGGTGCGTCGCTCGCTTTTCTGTTAATCGAACACTGTGTTCGGTTAGCCTCAAATTAGTTGAGTGCGCGAACGAGTGTTTTATTAAACACACACACACACACACACACACACACACACACACGCACACAGCATACAGTTGCTGCTGAAGAAATGTTTCGGTGAAATTTTTCGCCGTGGAAGGGGAAGGGGAGGGGGGAGCGAGCACAGCGAGACTGAACATAGCCGGACACGATTATTACATGAGACGCGCTGCGCGCGAGGGGGATCTTTTCTTTTTTCTCTCTTTTTTTGTGTTTTGGTTTCTTTCGTCGCGGCTTGATCCGATTAAAACTCGCCCCGTGAAGTTCGCAGAACGTTCCGATCTGCAGCTGCACGGGGCGACATCGACAGCAGCAACGCGACGCAGTCGTCGGCGCGAGCACTTGGCAGCTCCGCGACGAAGTAATATTTACCGTAATACCGCTTGAAAGTTTGATGGACGCGAAAGCTTACCTGAAGCTCGGAATCTTTTTGCAGCAGTTGCTTCCGGAATTTTTTATTCGCCAGCTTGGCCTCCTTCAGGCGCTCATCGAGCTCGCTGACTGTCGAGTCCCTTCGTATTTTCAACATCGGCCTCAGAGTCGCCCTGGTCCGCTTATTTATCACTCCTTGTGGATTTCTGCGTAATTCTATTACCTGCAAGAGCAACAAAAGCGGACTCACTCTCTCACCACCCCCGTCGATCCCCTCACCGCGGCGAAGGCTCAGAATAGGATTTGCGTGCATAAGATGCGCGTTACGGACACGCGCGCGCGCGCGCGTCAACATACCTTAGGAATAAAAACCAGACAAAGAGTGGCTGTACTACAAAATATTATGAACACCGCCAGCATTATGAACATGGCATCTTGCTTGTCAGTCAGCACGAAGCTTATAGCCGCGCCGGTGACGCACATTATAACAACGTTGTACACGCTCATCCCCACGTATTTACTGTCATTTAATGCCGGGATGCTAACGTGCCGCGTTTCCCATGCCAGAAAGGCACCGAACATCTGAAAACCCGGCAAGAGAGTCCCATTGGGGATGCCATTCTGTCTGCCTGAGAGAGAGAGAGAGAGAGAGAGAGAGAGAGAGAGAGAGGAGAGAGAGAGAGAGAGAGAGGAAAGCGCTCGGCGCGAATTCGAGCTGAAAACTTACCATTAAAAGGCCTTTGTATGCATATATGCATCCCAGATAAATATTCATCTGATTGCTCTGACAATACTCGTTTTCCGGGATGATTATTATGTCGTCGCTCGAGGGATGGTGCTGGAATCGAAAAGTACAACCGAGTTTTCTTTCTTCCTCCCTTCTTTTGTCGCGTGTATAATACATATCGCGCCGAGTATACAGTCGCGAGCGCGGACATCGGACGCGTTTTCTCGCCCGTTTGCTTTTCTCGCGTTTTACTCACATAGGGCTCCATCTGCTTGATCTCCCGATAGAACGGATCCGCCACTTGCCACGTCGTCATGATCGACAGGTCGATGGTCAACAGTATCCCGACCACCATGAACAACTGGTAATCTTTTATCACCTGAATCGACGGCACATAAGACGAGAGAGAGAGAGAGAGAGAGAGAGAGAGAGAGAGAGAGAGAGAGAGAAAGAGAGAGAGGTCGTTAATGTTGAAGAGAAGAGAGAGAAAGGAATGCGAATGCGACAGCCCGATGCCTCGATCTCTCTCGGACTCGGCATCGACGCGCTATCGGGACGCGGTGTCTTTACCTTCTTGTTGAGCTTCACGTCGGTGAATATGGAGTGTACGCGCCACGTTTTCGAGAACATGGAGCCGAAGGCTAACGAGAAACCAGCCATCAGCAGCCACGCTCGGGCGGTGCAGATGTACGGGAACGCCGTTACGCTCGACAGTTGCGAATCCAGCCCGAGGAAGATAACGCTGCTGTAGGTGAGCATGCAGCCGACGATGATGAGATTGTTCAGATGGGGCGACGACATCTTGATGTACCTGTAACGTTCAATCGAGCGTGAGACGCGCGCGCTCGACTATCTCGGCCGAGAGAGCGACCGGGGAAAAAGATCATGCCGCGCGCGAGCAACGAATGGAGCTTCCGTGTTACGCGCGCTCTCCCTCCCTCTCCCTCTCTCTCTTTCTTTCTCTCGCGCGCGCGATTAATTGCTACATATTACGGCGGAGCCCGTCACCTTTGATTTCGGTATCTGATATTGATGGCGAGAAAAATGGATGCCAAGACGATACCGACACTGGCGGCCGAAGCTAACACCGCGTACAGCGTGATGTCCACGGTGGAGTGCTCGATGATGCGAACGGTCCTGTCCTTTGGCGGTGTTCTGCCATTCCACAGCTGGGCCTCCCCTCGCGTGAGATCCAACACGCCGCTTATGCTGTCGTATTCGCCTACGTTTACCTCTCGGCCGTCTAGAAAGGGTGAGCTCTCAGGTTGAACGCGAAGACGCGAAGGCGTGTCGATACAATAACAAACAAGGGGAAGCTCCTAGCTTCTCGAGGCAAGCAGCTGTTTCGAGTCCCATGCGATTTTTCGCCACCGACAATCCGGATTACACGAGTCGGCCGATGAAGACACACGAGAATCGCATCGTACGGGACGTGCGCGACGAGCCGCGAAGGTTGCACGCTGGATGCGGAGGAACAAACGATCGTCTTCTGATTCTCGTCTCGAGATCGCGAACCGGAACGCGAACGTCGTGAAAGCAACGCGCGCGCGCGATTTACGCGATTATTAACGTGATTTACGTAACGCGAGCGATACCTGCGACTTCGCCCCGAGAGATAGGCGCTTCGCCCAGATTCTTGAAAGGTTCATGGGATTTCTGCGCTACGTATCCGAGGGCAACTTACTTTGAAACTGTTTTAGAAGGATGTACGCTTTCCTCTCGTTATCGTAGAAGCGGACTGGCCCCTGTAAATTTTACACCTCTAACATCCACGTCATCGTGTCGATGTATGTATACCACGAGATCGCGAGCGGAATCGCGGATTTCCAAATAAAAAATCCGCCCGGGCGGATACGGGGAGGAGGATATCAGCTCATGTCAATTTACTCCGCTAACTCAGCCGGCGGTTTGTCGTGCTTTTGATTTCGTTTTAATTTCAATTCGGTTTACCACCGAATCCCGTTCCGCCGTTGTCGCCGTGTACTCATACACACCCGCACATGTACACAATATCCTTTTTCATCGCATAACGTTATACGAGGAATATTAAAACGTGCTCAATGCATGGCGTTACGCGGAGCGCCACCGCCACCGCCTCCGCCTCCGTCGTTGTCGCCGCGTATTGCGTATCGCGAATGTAAAGCGAGAACATAGAACAAAAAAAAAACGAGAAGAGGCGAGAAGGAAAAGAGAGGAAACGAAAAAAAGAGACCGGAGGAAGAAAGGGAAAAAGAACTCATTAAATTCACAGCATCGCCGCTCGCACGGTAGGTGCGCGTAGAAAAATGATGCATACGCTCGAGACACTCGGGTGCGAAAAGACGGTCAAGTGTAACACGCGCGTCGGGTGCAAATGCCATGATGTTGATTACCGGGGAACACAGCCTCGCAGCGTCTTTTTCTCTCTCGCTCTCTCCCCCCACCCCTCTCTCTCTCTCTCTCTCTCTATCTTTTTCTTTCTTTCTTTCTTTCTTCTCTCTCTCTCTCTCTCTCTCTCTCTCTCTCTCTCTCTCTTCCTTCGTCTAAGACAGGTACAAAGTGCCAGCGACCGTCGGGCCTCACCGCCGCGATCGAAGACAAGGGTTGCCGCTCGTCTAATGAGAGAGCTTAAAGACCCTGCTCTCCAATCTTCGCTTTTCTTTATAAACGTCTTCCTTTCGTCGGGCTCACCCTCGTCACTTGAAATGAGCTCCCCAGTCTCGCGATTCCCGGAGGGCAGTTTCACGGCGACGTCGCGCGCGCCGTACTTTTATACCCAACGCGAATAACAATGCGACTCGGAAACGCGAGCGACGCGAACCGATCGATCACACACACAGGAAGGAGAGAAAAAAATACACGCTTCTTCCCGTCGCCCGCGAGACACCGAGGGAGGCGCGGGGTGGGCTATCGTCGAGCGGAGCGGAGCGAGCCTTGCGGGACGATGATCTCAATGAAATTGTTCGTCCTCCGTGCGAGATATTGCGAGACGCGGCACGGTTCTTAGCGCTAAGAGCCTCGGAGCGTCAAACGACGTTACCCCGGCTATATATTTGGCGCGCGAACGGCCAACGAGCGTCGTCGCCGGACTGCTGCGAAATTGCTAGGCCGGTCAGCTTACCGTGACACCGTCGAAGCTTGTATTCTTGAGGGCGTCGAGGAAGAGCTTCTCCCATAACACGTCCCTGTATCTGAAGTCGGATATAGTCTGGTTACGATGGAAGTGTCGTATCCTGCGCGCGACGTGTTTTACGGCCAGGGCGACGGTCCAGATACCGTCGTACGTGTACCCGTGGAACCTGGAGTACTCGCTGCCCCTCCGCGAGTCGTATTCGATCTGGTACTGGTCCGGAGTCTGCGGAGAAACGCACCGAAACGCAACAGGCGTGCTCGCGGTGACGAAATTCAAAGAGGCGCGACATTCGTCGTCGTTTCCGATTGAGCGGCTCTATATCCGAGCGAAGCGCTCCGGGCGCGATTAAACGCGATTTTTGCCGGCTCGTATCCCGTCGGAAATACCTGCCTGCGACGCACCTACGTGCGCACACGTGCGTGTGAGCGTGCCTGTTGTACAGCAACAGTCACACGAATCCACCTCTCAGTCGATTCCGAGTCGATTTTCCGCGAGCGCAATTCCTCGTGAGACTGCGCCCGGCGTTGCTTACATCGCGGAAGAAATATCATTCCATCCGCGCGTTCGTCGGAGAAATATCAACTCCGAGAGATTCGTCGCGGGCGAACGTCGCTGCAACGATCACAAAGCGCCGTAATTTCGCTGTGTCGCGGCCAACTTTCGGATTCTAATTCAAAGTCTAGGCGCTTTCCAAGTTGAATGGGATTCAACCGCTCACGGGGCAATCCGAGCGGCTTTAATCGAAAACTAACGATGTAGCTGTGATGTGTGTGTGTGTGTCTATGTGTGTGTATGTGTGTATGTGTGTGTGTGTGTGTGTGTGTGTGTGTGTGTGTGTGTATATGTGAGAGAGAGAGAGAGAGAGAGAGAGAGAGAGAGAGAGAGAGAGAGAGAGAGAGAGAGAGAGAGAGAGAGAGAGAGAGAGATTCGCTTACGATCCCGGATGTGGTGTACTGTTCCTCGGTCGTCAGCGGAAGTAGATCCGTCAAAATGACACCGTGAAGAGCCTCGGACAGTTCGGAGGGTGCGCATCCGCCGCCCGGTCGCAACCACCACTCCCTCGTGTAAGTCCCGATGATGACCCACTGGTATTTTCTGCCGTATATGCCGAAACGATAAGCCTCGCAGAATATTCGCCTGGCCCACGCCTCGTTGAAATTTCCCAGGAGGATCCTCACGTCTCTCTCCTTGAGCTTCTCGAGGGCCGTCGTCACCTCCGTGGCGAAACTCTGCGTCTCCACGAGTTCCATCTTGCTCTCGTCCAGATCGGCGACCAGCCGGTTGTGCACCTGCAAGAGCGAACCAACGGGGAGACGCGAGACCGGGGTGAATGTCAGAAGCGGAGAAGCAAGGAGACAGAGAGAAAGAGAGGGAGAGGCTGAGAATGAGAAAGAGGCTTACCCGCTCCACTTTCGCAATTCGAGTGCTTATCGCAAAAGCGCGCCTCGCTATAACGCGCGAACGCGTCCGCGCGTTTAACTTGTTCACACGAGCCGCTAGCGGCGGCAAATCTCCATTTATAATGTAAATGGAGCCGTTGCTGAATATACATCACCGTCCGGCGCGCGCACGTTGAGAACGAACGACGCGTTCCCGCGGCGGGGATTAATTAACCCTTTCATTTCCTCGAATTGCTTCCAACTGTCGGGAACGCTGTTTGAACCACTTTCTCAATTATATTTGACATTTAGTACGATAAACGTCAATTTTCTTAATTCCGTTATTGCTTTCGGCTTCTCCACGGTGACTATAATCAACCCCTTTCCCTTCCTCCTATTCCCTCTCTCTCTCTCTCTCTCTCTCTCTCTCTCTCTCTCTCTCTCTCTCTCTCTCTCGCTTTCTTTCTCTGTTCGATATTGTCCCGAGAATGTGCTACTTGGCGAGTCGCACGACGATTCGTCAGGATGTATTCTGTCTTACCAACGAATATCTGGGCTCGTTCTGATAAATCGTGCCGACTCGGGTCCAGTTGAAATGCAACAGCAACGCCACTCGCGGCGCATTCAGGGCGTTCTCGGACGGCACGACCCTAAAGAAATTCGGGAAGCTATTGGTTGTGAACATAGGATGGGTGTCCGCGTAGCTGAGCTGCAACAATAAAGGTGGACGGCGAATGTTGGTAAAGAGTCTCCTTTGCGCGCGTCTCCCGCGCGGCCTGCATCTCCTCGCTGTTCCCGTCCGCGCTTTTGCGTGTGTGCGAGCGCGAGTATGCAAACAAGCCGAGATAAAGCCGGGTGGATGGTCCGTCTAGTTTGCCATGAATATTTACGACAACGTTTTACCGTCGCATTACCTGCGTAAGGCGCCAGTGTTTCGAGGCTTTCGCTATCGGGTCCGTGACTTGTGTGCAAGCACCACCGAAGAGTATCACCTTGTGCGGTCCGTTGTGCATCATGTCGAAGAACGCCTTCATCCCGACGGCGGCGCTACACTGTAAAATGCACAAACGAATGGAATAGAAACACCGCGATCTCTCCTCGCTTCCGCTCTTTGCTCCACCGCATCTCCACCGCGTCTCTCTCTCTCTCTCTCTCTCTCTCTCTCTCTGGTCTTTGCGGCTCGAAGTATGGTACAAAAGCACCGGATATCGAGATGCCTCCAAAGGACAATCGGAGACGGCGATATCCGAGTATCGTCGACGACGATCAATTTGATCAGTTAGAGAGTACACAGAGCGTATCTGTCGCATGTAAATATTGTCGTATACGCATCCCTCTCTCTCTCTCTCTCTCTCTCTCTCTCTCTCTCTCTCTCTCTCTCTCTCTCTCTCTCTCTCTCTCTCTCCCTCTCTCTCTCTCTCTCTCTCTCTCTCTCTCTCTCTCTCTCTCAACCCTCGACGCGCGTTTACACAGTGTATTTGCATCAAGATGGAAAGTGATCGTTTCTTATATCGAAAGCCCTCTTTGCTATTTGCAGATTCAACAAGTGTTTGCTGGGGTACAGCCAGAAAATAGAGAGCAGCCGGGGGATAGAGCTATGCCAAATCTGCGAGGCGGGGGTGAGTACCGTCGAGATGCCGATGTCCTCCTCGTAGTAATTATCGAACGATCAATCCGGAAACTTGCGCGGACGACCGACGTCGTCTGTGTTGTCGGAACTCGTGCACAAACATTGCGGTGTTATTTACCTCGACGAGGAAGCGCGAAAGAGTTCTCTAGTGCGCTATTTACGCACCATGTATGCCTTTTTTATAATCTACACGGCGGAAAGATATTTTAAATGTTCTCGCCGAAGGTGAAACTTTGCTTTGGAAAGTTACACAGCTCTTTGCGGGAATAAATATTTAGCGCAGATAAATATAAAGCGCTTTACGCGCCTCGCAGCCGAAATAACGATCTACAAGAGCAGACAGCAAGAGGGTGGCGTGTGGGGGGCTGGAGGGGTAGGATGGGGACAGGGGGCGGGGGTGCGGGATCTTTGAGCTATGAATTATTTTTGCGACGAACGATCATCGGGAGAGCGGCATCGCATATTCCGTTTGAGTTTCCGTGTCTACACACTCCTTTGACACTGTCGCCATTTCGAGTGTTCTTTTTCCACGTGGGAAATTGATTTCAACGTATCTGCTACCTTCTTTTCGCCGCTCATCGTCAGGGCGAGTGGATGACCCGGTTTCTGGGACAAGACGTGAAGGGATATAATTGCGCGAATGAAAATAGGAGTTCCAGAAAGTTAGGCAGAAGCGCGGAATGGGTCCTCGTGCAAAACACGCGCGCAGCGTCACGGTGAACTTGTTATAAAAACGGGCTCGTGGTCGGAAATTTTTTTGCAATCAATCAGGATTATTTTTAAGACGGAAGCCGTGCGCCGCGACACTCTTTTGAATCGCTCTCGTTAGTATCGCGCGATTATATTCTCCCACCGAACATTTCTTCCGCATAATTTCCGCAGCGCGCTGCTTATTATCTCCCATTATCTCTTCATTAAAAAATGTTCATTTAAAGAGGACTGCGAGACCGCGCTATAAAATTTTTTTAAAATCACGTGTTCGCATTCACCGCCGTCTAGAGAGAGAGAGAGAAAGAGAGAGAGAGAGAGAGAGAGAGAGAGAGAGAGAGAGAGAGAGAGAGAGAGAGAGAGAGAAATTCCGTATCGCACGTCCCGCGTTCTATTTTACATCGATTTCCGATACATCGGTTATCACCGGGAAGAGATAAAAATCCGCCCGTGGAAATCGCGTTACAAGGGAGGAGCCGCGTAACTCGAGAAAGAAAGAACTCTGAGTTCATTAGTCGCCGTTTGACGATCACGGCGTACCAGACTGAAAAGAAGCTGGCGGAACAAGTAAACCAGATCGCGTTCCAAACAAAACACTATGAAAACGAGCAGAAGCATCGAGCAATTTTATCGGCCCCGAACAATGGGCATTGTCGAGGGCCGCCGCATTGTTGCAGCAGATGGTAAAGGATAATCCGCCATTACGGGGAAAAGAGACATCTCTTTGTGTGCTCGGATGTCTCGGGTTAAATTGCGGAAGCGATATCGACTCGCGGAAGCGTCGGATTCCTTAATTATACGATTGCGTGTCATAAAACACCCGTCCGGCAAGTGTCCGCCGTAACGTCGAAAAGGCTCGCAGTCGCGCGGGAGCGAGAAAATGAGACGAATTAATTTCACATTCCATTGCTCGATCGCACGTTGAATTGACGCGGCAGCGAGGCGACGGGAGAAGGAAGAAGAAAGAGAGAGAAAGAGCGAGGGAGAGAGCGGAGCGAAGCGACAGTGAAAAATGCACGGGCATAGTCAGACGCGTCCGCTCGCGTATTTACCGTAACTACCGCGGCATATCTCAGGATATAGCAGGTCGCGTAGCGATCCGCGCGGAACTTGCCACAATATTCTTTCGGCAAGTAATCGGAGACGATTAATCTCACCCGTCCTCGCGTCTACAAGCTGCTCTCCGCAGCTTTTTGCCGCTCGCCCGACCTCCCGCGAGCTGACTCGAGACTCTCATAATTCGATGTCTCCCCAGCCTCAGCGATTTTTCGCGCGCGCGCACCCGCTCGTACTTGCACGCACCGTAATCGTAAATCGCGGCGTGATTTTCTCCGGGTTCAGCGAGTGGGAAATTATATTGAGAGAAAAACGCCGTTTCATAGCTGTTTATCTTGCATTACGAGAAAAAGCGAGGGAAGAGTGCCCATACTGGGCGTTAAATGTGTGTGTATGTGTCTATATATATATATATATGAGATATATCTCATCATAGAACCCGTCTGGTTTTATCGAAAGAATATATTTAACAGGATAATCTCTCGCTGCATTATTTCGTTCCGGTCAGCGGTCGCTTCCCAGGTGCAGGCCACGTGCACAGAAAATTTCCGACAGGATAACTTTGCATCCGCCCAGGCTGCTTCGCACCGCTCGGCTCCGCTCTGTCCGTTTCGTCTCACCTCGTCACACGAGGGAGTCGACAGGGACCAACATGAGCAGGACGTCGTATGGAGTAGCAACACGAGTCAACAATGGCAATGTACGCGCGCTTCCGGGAGCGTAATGCGCGCAAAGCGTATCTTTGACGTAGAATAAAATATTACATTTCTCAGGCGCAACGAGCGCGCTGGCAGCCGCTTGCAAGCGCTGTAAGTGGAAAAGAGCCGGCGTAACTGTCGTCGCTTTTGCATCGAGCATCCCGCGACAAATCCTTCCGTGTTTCTCGAAATGGGAAAACTGCGATTTATATCGTTGTTTCGCCCGACGACTCGCGCATTGTTTTTCATAAATGTTCCGCGACCCGTAGCGCGTTCGCATAAATTTCCATCCGTAATTCAAAGCGCGCTCGAATCCGCCGCTAGCCCCTCGAATGTAGACGTCAACCTCGGAGGGACCTAATTCCGCGAGACTCCGCGCGCTCGAGAGTTCGCCGGTGTCGTATAGTTCGAGACGCTACATAAAGGTAAACGCGAAGTTTCCCCTCTCCAAGTTGCGGTCGCGCCGGGGTATCCTTGACTCGGCATGCGCCTCTACTTCTGGCAAACTTTTCTCTCGCAATTTCCCCGCGTCTGGGCGACTCGAAGCCGTCCTGCCTCGCGCCGCGCAGAGTGAACGCGGAAACCGGAAAGGGCGGCGAGAGGGTGGTGCTCTCTGATGCTGATGGGTGGGTTGAGGGCGCATCTATATGCGTCCGCGAAATCGCGCGCGACGATAAGAGCGACAGTGTGTTACGCGGCCGATGCGCTCCGCGCGCGCGAGAGATTGTCAACGTGTCGATTCTTATCCGCGGCTTCTCCGGGAGTCGCGAGATTACGCGAGGGATTCGGCGGAATTTGCGGCGATCGCAGCCATCGCGGCGGTAAACAACGCGATAAATCGTCCCGCGTCGATAGCTCCTAATTCAGCGGAAATTGAGATACAAGTGGCGGTTGCTATACTGGATGTATCGAGCGACGCGCGGCATCGGCGGCGGCTGGCAAAGGCAAAAGCCGGCTCTCCCTCTCGTTCTCGCCCTTTCTGTCGCCTCCTCTCTCTCTCTCTCTTTCTCTCTCTCTCTCTCTCTCTCTCTCTCTCTCTCTCTCTCTCTCTCTCGCTCTCTCTCTCTCTCTCTCTCTCTCTCTCTCTCTCTCTCTCTCTCTCTCTCGCTCTCTCTCTCTCTCTCTCTCTCTCTCTCTCTCTCTCTCTCTTTCGCTCTCTCCGTCTCGTTCTCTCGCGCGTCGCGGGGACAATGCGTTCACCCGTCAAATATTCGTCGGATCGCAAATGCGCCGCATTTGCGCGATGAATTTTACCGGAGCGATTCCGCAGGTCTGCCGTGATTTCGCCGAGCTGAATTCCCGATTCGCATGTAGACGCGGAGGAAAACGCGCGCCGCGCTCTCGCGCGCTGTTACAAGTGCGGCATTGTTCCGAATAAACATAGAGATTATTTTCGACCGTACAACACCGGGCAACCGGGATACAACCGAAATTATACCGTTTCCCATGCGCGGCGAGCCGCAGCTCCTCGTATTTTAACCGGTAATATACGCAACAACAAGCGGAAAATAGCTCGCTCGTCGGCTCTCGCCGGTATCAAACATCAAATTTTTATAACAGCCGGCAAAATAACGAATGTTGTGTTCACCTCTCAAAGGGGAATTGTTTTCGCTACACGACCGAGCGACACCCGCAACACAATGTATATCGTCGTCGATAGTGTCAAAGCCACCTGCGCGTGGACCTATGGAATGATTATGATTCAACAGCACTTCAGTGCCCTTTACCTTCCGGGGAGGGTATCAGATTAACGCTCGAATCAACGCGAACAGAGTCCTCGTCGGAGAGATGGTGAGCAAAGTTTTAACACGAGCGGCTCGCAAGCGAGCGAGATAAGACTTGGGTTACGAACGAGAAACTCGATCCGCGGCACGGCGATAACGAGAACTCACCTCTGTGTCGTTCCACCACATGTGGAGCCGGTAGTCCCTGAGTATGGTCGGGTGCTCGTTAATGTGCTCCACCGCGAGCTTCACCGCGGGCATTACGCCGCGGCCGATGTGACCCTCCGGCACGTGGTTGCCGTACGGGAAGAAACCAGCGATGTAGACGTCGCGCTTCTTGCTGCCGCCGAGATTGATGGGTTTCTGACCGGCGCAGTGACCGGCCATCAGCAGCCAACAACATGTGACCACGAGCAGCATGATCGGCGAGCGACGACGACGGCGGCACCGATTCGCACCGCCCGCGCCGTGAATACTCGCCGCCATATCTTCGGCTGTCGTTCCGTCCCGTCCGGTCTTCCTCCTCTTCATTCGACGACTAGCCCTTCCGACATCTCGCGATCCGAACACGCGCGTTTTCATCTCGAGCTCTTCCGGGTCAGCGGGTACGAGCCGGACGATAAGCCCGACGCGACGCACGTCGCCGTTCGTCCGCCGACTTTCGCTCGCATGACGAAAAACCGGACACCAAGACGACAGAGCGAGAGACAGGAGTCGAGTGGACAAGAGTGGATGGACTCGACGATATACCGTCGCGCTCGACTTGTTGCGACTCGATCGCTCTCTCTCTCTCACTCTCTCTCTTAATCTCTCTCTCTCTCTCTCT